CGGGGCCGCACGGGCTGACGGCAGAGCTGGGCCTCGACGCCTGGTCGGCTGGCTCCAGCCCAGGTCTCTTGCTGCCCCCTCTGCTCTGTGTCTCTGGGCTGGAACTAGAACCCAGCTCTTCTGACTCCGGGTCTGGTGCCCACTCCACTGTCCCATGCTCCTTCCTTGAGGATTCAGAGTCCGGCTGTGGAGAGAAGGTCCACATCCCTGACACAACTGACAACTGACAAACGGGCTGGGAAAACCACAGAACGAAAAACCGCCTCACCCCAAGCACCACGGGGTCACTTTTTGGTGCTTGTTAATAGTACACTTCTTCTTTCAGACATCGATAGCCCCAAAAACCTGGTGACCGACCAGGTGACGGAGACCACGGCCACCGTCTCCTGGGACCCGGTGTGCAGGCCGCCATCGACAGGTACCTGGTGCGCTACACCTCTGCGGACGGAGACAGCCGGGAGGTCCCGGTGGGGAAGGAGCAGAGCAGCGCCGTGCTGACGGGCCTGCGGCCGGGCGTGGAGTACACGGTCCGCGTGTGGGCCGAGAAGGGCGCCCGGCAGAGCGGCAAGGCCGAGGCCAAGGCCCCGACAGGTAACAGCAGGGAGGGATCAAACAGATGAGGTCATCGCTATGGATTGATGTCTTGCTGCTGAATTCTGAGCCCACTCCCTTAGGGTCTGCGATCTCAGGAACTGTGGGCTCTCCCAGGAGAGTTTTCTGTAAAAAATTCCATTCACCTGAAATAAAAAGAAATCTCAGTAATGGTCTCAGTGCCGAGCAGTCCCACGAATGTCTTAAACTCTTTCCCAAAGCCTGTGTTTTTAACCACTGTGCCTCTCAGTTATAAAATAATTATAGGATATACAGTAAAACCAGTGTAAAATTCCTAAAAACTCTGGATTAAAGAACCGTTTTTGACATAATAGAGGGTATGCAGTTTGAAAGAAACAGGCATTACCTTTGGCAGGTGGAGCTGTGTTCATGTCAACATGCTGCTAAATTTTAATGAGCGTTTCTAAGTGCCAGGAGGCACAGTGGTGAACAAGGCAAATACGATCCCCACCCCCTTGACGTCCAGTGAGAAAGGCGGACCCCCAACCAGCCAGCGCGTAGCTGCGAGTTGATAGGTTCTATGACGGAGATGAGCGTGGTGCAGGTATGGAGGACAGCAGGTGGAGATGTGTCTCAGATGGGATGGGGTGACCAGTTGTTAAGACACACGTTGGCAGAAACACCCCAAGAGCAGTTGCTTCAACAAGGAGGAAGCTCGTCCTCTCTTGTGGAATGGGCCAGGGCCGGCATGGCAGCTCCGCTGTACAGAAGACCAGGCCACCTCTGTGCTGGCGCTCAGGGATCTCTTGGGAGTGGCCTTCGTCTATGTGGTCATCACCCCTCCTCATCCAGCCGGTGGGACGGGGCCTGGGAGGGGGCAGGGTGTGATGGGAGCGTTGCAGGCATCGGTTCTCACATCCTGTGGGCCAGACCCAGCCGTGAGCCAGACCCAGCTGTGGGCCGGACACAGCCGTGGGCCGGACCGCATGTCAGGGGAGGCTGGAAAATGACGTCTTTGGCGGGGTGGTCGTGTGCCCAGCTTAAACTTCGTGTCCTGATCGACACCATAGCCGTGAGCTCTGTGTGGTTATTTCTATTTTAATTAATGAAAGCTAATTAAAATAAAAAAATTTTTCGTCAGTTGGACTAGCCACATTTCAAATGGTCAGTAGCCACATGTGACTGATGGCTACTGTACTGGACAGTGCAGAGTGTAGACATTTCCCCCTGTGCAGAGAGAGCTATTGGACAGCGTGCTTTCGGAAGAAGGGGCGGTTGGCTGTGGGGGGAAACGAGCCATTTCGGGCAGAGGGAAGAGTGTGCGCAGCGCCAGAGCAGGAGGTGGGAGCTGACAGGGGCTGGTGTTGCGGAGCATAGAGGTCCGGGGACGAAGGGGACGCGAGGTGGGCGGGGCCGGGGGGCAGTCAGATCGCGCAGGACCTCGTGGCGTCTGGAACAGGGAGAGCGTTCTCTCTATTAGCGGAGGGACGGGATGCGAACTCGTTTAGGAAGGACGATGTGGGCCGCAGTGCAGAAAACACGCGGGCGCGATGGCGGGCAAAGCGGGGAGGCGAGCAAAGGGGCGGTGACATCGCGGGCCGGGGACCGCGATGCCATGGGCCGGCGCGACGGCGTAGGGCTGGAGCGAGGGCGGTGTCCCGCACGGGGTTTGGAGGTGTCCACGCAGCGTCTGTTGATGGATGACATGCGAGGCAGGAAGAAGACAAGGACTCAAGAATGACCCGTGTTTCTGATTCGAGCAAGGCTGGGGCATTTCCCGAGAGGGGAGACTGGGGACAGATAGCTTTGGGGAGGAACGTAAAGATGTTTGGACAGGTAAGCCTGAGATACCTGTGAAATTCTTCGGTTCCTCGAGCGATTTCTTCATTGACTCCACATACAGTCGCTGAGCGGGTAGGACATGTCGGACACTGGTGGACATGCGGCTGTAGATACAGGTCAGGAGCTCAGAACTGATACAGACCGGGGAGCCACAAGCACTCAGTTGGTATTTAAAGCTGCGGACATGGGCGAGGGCGCCTAGGGAGAAGTGTGGACAAGGAGACTGGGGTCCCCCAACACGTTCAGGGTGCTGACCCAGGAGACTGAGAGGCAGGAGTCAGGGAGCTAGAGATGCCGGAGAGCGTGTCGTCGTGGAAGCCAGTGTTTCAGGAAGGAAGCGGCGAGTCAGCTCTGCCCAGCGCTGCTCAGAAGTTGAGTCAGGTGACGATGGCGTTCACGGGTTTGGCGACACGGATGCCGTTGGTGACTTAGACTAGCGGTCTGAATGGTGCGATGTAGAAAAATGCGACTCCGGTGAATTGTGGAGTGAAGTGAAGGGCTGCAGATGGTTCTCTTGAGAAGTCTGTCTGTTCACGGGGGCAAAGAGGCGGGAGCTTCTGAGCTTGTCTGTCTGCAGATGATGGCGGAGGAGGAGAGACTGACGATGCAGCGGACAGGGCGGGTGAAAAGCAGCCAAGGCCTTGAGAAGCGCGAGGGCCCCAAACTCACAGCAAAGAGGGTCTAGTCTCGGTTATAACGCAAGAAAACAGTGGGACCTTGGGCAAGCCTTTCCTCTCTGCCCTCTGTTCTCCTCTCCTTTTATTAGACAAGAAGGTTGGAAGATTTGACTTCTCAGCTCTCAGCTTCTGTGAAACAAAATAACCGGATGCCATGGGGGATAACAAAAGTGCTTGTTTTGACAGCAATTTGGGTGGCTTATCTTGTTGCTTAGGAGATTTTTGTGGGAAAGAAAAGGACAGAAAATTTCCATGTCAATAAACTTGGAGAAGTGCTAATTCCTCCCAGTTTTAATATCCAGTGGTTTGTTTCTCTGGAAAATGGAAAGTAGGGGCCCTTCGCCCCTGAAAACGGAACTGCTCCGTCATTAAAGACAACCGGAGTGGAGAGTTCCTGGTGCTGGGTTGCTGGGAGGTCCTCCTCGACTCTAAAATTCAGCCTTTTCCCTTAAAAAAGAAATCGACAGCCCCCAAAACCTGGTGACCGACCAGGTGACGGAGACCACGGCCACCGTCTCCTGGGACCCGGTGCAGGCCGCCATCGACAGGTACCTGGTGCGCTACACCTCTGCGGACGGAGACAGCCGGGAGGTCCCGGTGGGGAAGGAGCAGAGCAGCGCCGTGCTGACGGGCCTGCGGCCGGGCGTGGAGTACACGGTCCGCGTGTGGGCCGAGAAGGGCGCCCGGCAGAGCGGCAAGGCCGAGGCCAAGGCCCCGACAGGTAAAAGCAGGG